GTAAAGCAGAAGTGTTGATTCATTTTACTTTTTTTGTGACCGTAGATTCAAGTGACCATCGGGCATATGCCACTTTCTTGGGTGTCTTTACATATTGATACTCAGTTTGTCTTTTCTGAACATTACGTTATCCTCAGAGGATATGGAGTTTAGCAATAGTTCCACTTGTTATGCCAGGGAACTTAAAAAACACTGAAGCTCAAGACCTGCTGCCAAAGATTCTGATGTCACGGTTCTAGTTGTCACTAAAGTATTATTTTAATTGGGCTGACTTCTCTTTAAATATTCAGTGATCCTTTTTTTTTTTACTCTGATGTGGAAGCATTGTTTCTGAGCCATACCTCAAATAAAATATTTTACAATTAAGGAGCAGATAGTCTCCACATATAACCTGGAAAAAGAGTACACAGATGACTTACTTGGTCCATTTATCCTGGAAGCATCTTATTTGTCTTGTTCTCTTTAAGACTGGGAGGGGTAGCCCCACCTCCTGGCAAGAAAACCAACCAAGGAAGCTGGCCCATTAAACCAGCTGAGGCTACTGGATTGAGGAAACCCCATTCTAAGGAGCTTCTCCACTTTTCCTTCCAGAAACTCTTTCTTTCCTTCCTCGTGGGCCAGTCTCTTTGCTGACTCTGGTTTGACTCCTCTAAGGTGTCTGTTCTTTGGCTACTTACTGCCAGATAGGCTTTGAGCGAACTAGTCCTTTGCAAGACATTCTCCACTTTCCTTTAACCTCTGGCTCTTGAAGAACTTAGTTGGAGTTAGAAGACACATTGAGCAATGCAGAGATCCCCTCTACTTCATTTTGGGTTGGTTCACTGGACAGAGGCTAGAGTTTGGTAGACCCTGTGTAGACAAAGCAGAAGGCTCTGCCTGAGTAGGTGCAGGCATTGATGGGTTGAGGGGTCTTAAGCCATTTGAATATGCCAGCTGAAGCCAGGAAGAACATGGAGGAGGAAGAAGGAAGTCCCAATGAGTTTTCCGTAAATGCCTGGGCACTTTAAGAATTTCCTTGTAAGTTGAGATCCAAAAGGAAAACCAGCAAATTTCCCTACCCCAGCATGGGATCAGATTTACTTACACAGGTATTTCTTAGGAATAATAAAACAACTTCAGTTCATTCTGTCTGTGTGTATGTATGTGTGTGTGCCTGTGTGTCTGCATCAACAGGACCCGTTTGATGAGGTGCCTCCTGTCACATACCGTTACTGCTGTTTACCTGGGAACGGCAGAGCCACTGAGCTGTCGTCACGATATAACAGGGTTCAGACTTACAGTGGTCATCAAAATTTCCTTTGGTTCTAATGTGATCAGCAAGCATTCATATAAGAGACATTTCTGCTTTCTTGTAGCTTACTTAATCTCTGATCCTTTCTATTTTTTATCACCATAAATTGTCATCTCCGTAAAAATTTTCCAGTTGGAAACATACTAGCTCTTCCCTTTATAGAACTCATTAGTCAGTACCATGCACTGTTTTAACGAAGCTATGCCACTAACCCCATTCAGATAGGGAAGAGAAGGTAAATGCACAGTTCAACAAAGTGAAGGTCATACGTACTTTGTAAAGCTAAGCAAACTTCTACTGTGGCAGCTTCTTTAAAATTTATTATCACTTTGGTTAACGTATATTGAATCTCTGCTACATTCCACTACGCTGCTTCATATTTAATAATAGTAATTACACCGTGGTTGTAACCTAGTACTGTTATTTATCAGTCTACTGACTCGGTGATACAAAACTTGCTTATGTATGGCTTGCAAACTTGTGTTTTCTTGTTCTTGTTCCTTCCTGCTTTTGGGGTCTGTTCTGCTTCATTAATGATGTATGTTTTTGCCCTCAGTTGTGTCTAGCATGCCATAAAGCTAGATGTCCACAAATGCATGAAATGATCAAAATGTCCCTTACGAAACTCCTCACTGCCCTGTGTCTTCGTGCATTCCCTGGCGATCAGAGGCCTGTGGCTTTTCACAAGGTATTTGACTTGCCCTTTGAGCCTCTGGCAGAGGTGCAGGACTGAGGCTTTTTAAGTGTCAGTTCTGCACCACGAAAGCAAAGGGCATGGGGAGACAGAACTGATACAGGATATATGAAAAGAAGAAACTGATAAGCTCCTTTTCCAGAAACTCAGCCTGACTTTGGACATGGTGTTCCCTGAGCTTCTCTGTGTCAGTGTGCTCATCTTAGCACTGCCCTGAGGTATAGGAAGAAAAACATTCACAAAGTGAAAAATCACTGGTCTTGAATTACAATGGTCAGGTTTATAAGGGGAAACGTAGTTCTGCAAACCTTTCGGATTTACCAATTTATTATTAATATAGCAAGTTAAAGGAACTTTTCTTTAGAAGATGTCAGGATAACTGATAAAGCATTTCTTTCTGAGTACCTAAAGAGAGTGATATTATCAGATACATGATCTTTTTATTTTTTTTCCTGTTTTTTGCGGTACGTGGGCCTCTCACTGTTGTGGCCTCTCCCGTTGCGGAGCACAGGCTCCGGACGCGCAGGCTCAGCAGCCATGGCTCACAGGCCCAGCCGCTCCGCGGCATGTGGGATCTTCCCGGACCGGGGCACGAACCCGCGTCCCCTGCATTGGCAGGCAGACTCTCAACCACTGCGCCACCAGGGAAGCCCCATGATCATTTTTATATTTAAAAGGATACCCTTTTGTCATATTCCATATTTATACTCCCAACTTTAGTAGAATGAGATCCTTAGGTTAATCTTTTTTTTTTAAGCAGACTAAACATGCCTATCTTTTCCCTTAATAAAACGCCTCTTGCAATAAGTCATTTCCAGTGTTGTACGTGTAGTAATAGCACCTAAACATTAAAAATGGTGATAACGTTAAAACTCAAAGAAATGCATTTGTTACTTGTGAAGTTCATCTGTTTGCAGCACTGTTTGTGTTGCTTCAAATCCAGTTCTTCATGGGTGCTTTCTTTCTTGGGTCTAAAGGGACTGATAGAGTTTTTTAAGCAGGATATAGATGGCTCTCAGTATTCAGGAATATCATGTTTATGTTAAGTGTATAGTTCAGCTCTCCAGATAGCTACTCTCATCTTTAGTGCGTCTAAGGCTTAAAATTTCCCCTTAAATTTATAACGTCAGAGCTTAGAGATTTAAAGATCAACAGTTATAAAGATTTCTTGGGAGAGTATAAGATTTAAAGAAAACTGTTAAATCCTAAGGTATAAATAGTATGAGTGTGCCTGGTTACTCTGTGGAGAATTTGATTTCATCAAAGTGAAATACTTCACTCAGATGTATTTTCACAGTTTTTAAACTATTTCATCACATGCAAAAGTAAAAGCCTTTCAAGATTAAAACATGTTTTTTTCTAAGTATGTATAAATTGTACCTTCAGGTACATTATAATCCACGATTGTTTAAGAAAATGAATTTAAAACTGATATACCCTAAATGGTAGTTTGAAAAACAAATATTTTGGAACTTGTTCTTATTTTTTAACGTAAAATGAATTAATCTAAGCCAACTTCCAAATACACCGTTGAGTTTTCAATGCTCGTTTGGAATATTAAGCATTCAATAGGAGATAAATTAAACTGTTAGAAAATATTTACTTTTACCTAGTTAATTTTACCAAGAAGGTTATTATAATGGGGCCCGGCAGAAAGGTCTAGCTTAAGCAGTAGCAGCAACAAAGGTTAACATTTAGTTTCTCTCTTGTTTCAGTTATCAATCATCAAATTAAATTTGCCATTTGGGTGAGAACCCTGCATTTTCCTTGTAGATAGTCTTGGAGTTACTCCTAGAAAAATAATTTAGGTACATTAAATCCCCCTTTTTTTCTTTTTGTGGGACTAAATATGCTTGGAAAATGGAAAGGATAACATATCTTATGCAGAGGAAAAAGTGGGCAAATTTAAAGCATGCATTTATTGTCAATGCCCATTCCTATAGCTTCCAAAGGAATTAGAGGCAATAAAATCTGAAAAGTCATTCCATTTAACATCAACATCATCATCAAATGAGAGATTTTTTTTTTTTCCCCCAAATTGGGACTTCTCCATGCAGCAGCCATCAGGGAGTCTTCTCATGTTCAGCTACACATTCAGACTCACAAGACCCAACTAGACCACAACTGGCGTTATGTTATGTTCACTTAGCAGGATATAGGACAGGAAACAGAAGTAGGTTAACGGCAGGCATTTATCTTTCACAGGAGTCCTTGCTGCAGTCCAGAGGCTAGTTGCTGGCTCTCAAATGTCAGCTTAGGAGCAAAAAGATGAGAGCCACCTTTGTGGGTACAGAGTCACCTTGGCTTAGCCTCCGCAGGTTTCAACTATGTAGGAACCAATAATCTGTAACAACTGCATGAGCTCAGCTGGCAGAGGTCCCAGAGGGTGTGATCAATGACAGCAGTCACCCAGAGAAACTCCTCACCAGGTTTTTATAGTTCATTCACAGTTCTCCGAATTCAGATGCAGCTTAGTAATCGGTGGACATTTCTACCCTAAGCCATGCTGCCTAGTAACACAGCTAACTGTCCCACTTTTATCAGGTTTCCAAAAGAACACAGCTGGAGACTTAATCCAAGGTCAAACTTGTTTATAGAGGAGAAAGGGTTTCATTAACCCTTTCCGCGCACTTCATAACTCAGGAGTTAAATTCTGTTCCTGTTTTGTCATGGAGAGAACTTTTCTTGATTAATTTCTAGCCACCTGAGTTTGTTCTAGGTAGAATTATTTGGCATATCTAAAAATCACTAATTTGCATTCTTCTGTGATACTCAGAATAATAAGCTTCTAAGAGTGATAATCTTTAGGGAAAAATTACTTTTCCTATATGATTAAAAACAAATTCCCAGGGATTTAAAATACATATTTAGTAGTACTCATTGACAACTAGTCTTAAATCAGGCTGACTTTCTATTTAAGAGAGATTTAACATCCTCTCCAATTAATTCCAAAGCATGTTGGTAATGAACTGATATCTACAGATCGTGTATGTTGCTGTCTTATTTCTTTACCAGGTGTGCATTGAAACATACATATGTAGCTGTCACCAGCGTAGTATAAACACTGCTGTGCGGGCAACTCTCAGTCAAATGCTGAGTGACTTGACTTTACAGTTACGACAAAGGCAGGAGAATACGGTGAGCCTCTCCGTACCCACACGTTCATCCCGGTCTTGCCAGTGTCTCTGTGTAACCGCATGCTAAGTGTCCCACGTCCTATATGCTTTCCCCTCCCCCTGCCAGGGCTGCTTCCTACTGAAACGTTAGGAAGGGCTGGCTTGGTTCAGAAGAACATTTATTTATATAAATTAAACTCTTTAAATGTGTCTTTGCCTGTTTCACTCCAAAGCTTGGAGAGTTATTTTTCCTTATGGTTTCGGTCATGTTTTTAGTCATTAATGTAAAATTCACTTTTCTTTTAAAATCATGTTTTAAACATCTCTGATTGAACAATTTTATTTAAAATATTTTGATGTATTAGCAAACAAGTAAATTCAGAATTAAGAAAAATTACTAGCAGTTAATTAATTACATGCTTTGAGGCTTGGTGTATATGTTTCTGTTTATGAAATAAAAGGCTGGGGCAGGAGGTTTCCTTCACCTGCTGGTGCCATCGGAAAAAGCTGAATTTGTCTTCTCTCTGTCATCAAAGCCCACTCGAGCTTTTTGCTCTAAACTTCAGCAGTTTGTCTAAAATGAGCATTTCTGGGAAAAACGTAAATGTGATCAGCTTCTTGTATATGTTATCTCCTGGGAATGTTAATTGAGGAGATGATTCCTCTTCAAATTTGGTGTTTTAAAAAAAAAATGCCTCTAATAATTCAGATTAAACTTCTTTTAAAATCTGCAAGAAGTATTCCGAAATGAACACTTTATGAGTTATTTTTTAGAATAGGAAATCTCAATGGCAATCCAGAATATCTCAGAAATTAATTTTACAGAAATGAAGAGTTCATTTCTAATTTTTAACTTCAATTATTTTATAATTTTTAGAAAATCATGGCGTTGAGTGAAACCTTAGAGATTATCTGGTCAAATTCTTTTATTCCCCAGAAAAACAGCTGGGGAAGATGAAGCCCAGAGAGATGAAATTGAAATCTAAAATTAATGAGCATATCAGTGAAAGAGCCAGAACAAAAGCCCTAGTCTCCTTACTGACTCCCAGTCCAGGTTATTAATATGCAGTCTGGCAGCCAGTGTTTTTTTGTTTTTTGTTTAAATCCACTAATCTGAAAAAACAAATACTGATTTTCTTTTCTGTTTGCTATATCTAAAGCCCAAGTTTTTATTAAAAATGGTTTAAACTTGAGATATTTTTATTATATTAGCTTACTCTTTGTTAAAAACTATTTCATTTATACTAAGGTTTTGCATATGACGGTATAGATACATTAGTTTAAAAGAAATTCAAATCTATAAGCAGAAAGCATTAAGAGAAAAAAGTTTCTTAATGGAAACAAAGCTAAGATGTTGAGAGTCCTGATACTAGTATATTATCATGTTCCATCCTTGCTAAATGGCAACATGATGGGAAATACTATAACACTAATGCTTTAAGATGAAGCATTTAAATGAAACTTTGTAGTTTCAAAGAGATTTCGATTATGATAGTTTATTTCATTATATTTTTAAGTAGGAGAATTTGGGGTTTTAAGTAAAACGACTCAGCTTTTTAGCTTATCTTGCTCTTCTGTAACAATGGTGACAGGTATAGTTGTAGAGGTTTGGATAAAACTACAGGGTTGTCTGCCTCTGTCCTAGGTACTGTGTGGCTAATCAACCTTCTGGTCCCCCTCATCACTGACCATCTGGACTCACCCCATCCGGAGGCAAGATCCCAAACGAGATAGAAAATGAGTGTTTCCTGTTAATTTCCTTTCTATTACTCATTAGATCCCTGGAGATGTTTTTGTGTCCCAGAAAATCATGATTCTCAGGATGCTAATATTTGAAGCACTTAGGATGTTTAGTAGAGAGAGACATAACTTTTGCCACCTAAGAATGGTTATTTTTTAAAAAAAAAGCTATTAAAGGGGAGTGGTCCCTAGGAATGGTGAGGCGCACTCTAAGTAGGATGCATGTTCTCCCATGGGACGCTTAGCATTACTCGCAGAAGACGTGTATAATAGTGCTTAGCATGACCCATCACCGGAAAGACATCATGGGCCATCTCAGAATTAGAAAGACTTAAACAGAGTGGAAAGAAAATACATCTAGAATGCCAAAAGCTTAACATGAAATGTATCTTCAACTTAATGTCTAGCCCCTCCCAACCCCTACTCCCAGGGCAGATTACTCAGTTTGATTTTGTAGCCTCAGAAACCCTGAGTTATTATCGAGCTTTATTTTTGAATTCTTTCGATGACAAAAGCCATTGTTAAATTGTTACTCATTTTAAAAAGAAAAAAAATGCCACATGTAAATATTTGGGGGGGGGTAGGTGGTAGTGGTTCTCCTATCCATAAAAATGATTCAGATGGATTTCCTCCAGAAAATGTTGTTCTGAACTTAATATTTATCCATGTGCTGAGCTGTAGGCACTAACATAGCATTTCCCAAAACGCTGTAGAAGTTGCTGAGCTTGCAAATTTATGAACACAGAAGAGTAGAAATACATGCCTGTAACAAGTTTAAAAATGATCAGTGCTATGCTATGATTTATATCTGGTAGTTAATTGGCATGGAAATGCCTTCTGTTTATCTCCCAATGCTAAGAGGTGGGGAGACTGAAGGGTTGCCTTCCTGCTCTCAGCTCAGTAGTCACTGAATTATCCCTACCACGGGAAATAATCTTACTACCAGTAAATGTCTTTTCCTTCCTATTCTCCCTTCCCTCCAGGTTCTGTCTCTACCCTGATAGTTCTAGATCTACTAGAGATGGCCTAGAGGGTCAGTCTGGTCAGTCAGAAATTAATACACTCCCCCATCAATTAGGAATCTGGTGCTTCTGACCCGCAGTCATCTTGGACTTGTATGTTGATGTCCAGGAACCTGATTCTTTTTACGATTAAGAATCTGTATTCATTAGGTGCCAGTCAGAGTGCAGTCTGTGACCTTGGGACAAATTGTTTTTTTGTGCAAAGAGAACGCACCTGTTTAGGCAGGTATTGCCTCAGGTCATAGCCCTGCAGCATCCCGGAATGATCAAGTGCACGGTGGGCCTTAAACTTCCAGGGGGTTGTGGACTCTTGAATGAGTTATTTTTGGAACTGATAACTCAGTTCAGACATCACAGCCTTTTCATAAGTACCATGAGTAATGAAATGCTATCAAGAGCCGGAGGGTGCGCCTAGGTAAGTTAGCAGAGCCCAGAGCACTCAGATGACACTTTGTTTCCTAGAACTTTCCGTTGTTTAACAGTCGGGATTTTTCTTGCCTGAATCTCCTAATTGTCCTGTGTGTGTCTCCCTTACTAGATAATTGAAAACCCGGATGTACCGCAGGAATTCAGGAGTCAAGGTATTGGATTTGATTTCTGTGCATTCAGTTTAAAAAGCCGATGTAAAAACACCTACTATGTGCTTGGGGTGGGGATGTAACGCTGAGTGAAAGCTCTCGGGTTAGTTCCCCATTCTCCTTGGAGGCTCTGCTTAGCTTTAGTCAGCTGTTGTTTCCTTCTGTTCCTACACCCTCTGCCAACCATAGTTGTCCCTGCTCCAGCTGTGTCAAGGAAATTAACTCTTTACACACCTTCCTGCTGGAAGCTAGTTTTTGTAGTTACATCACTCTTCATGAAGTCAGGTTCATTATTTCACCTGAAGGGTATTTGTGAAACACCGAGTTTTTGACATGAAAAATGAGTCACCTCACAGGGAAGGACAGACAGCCCAGTTTCAGTAGCAGGTGAAATCAAGGTAAGGAACTTTCCTTCTGACCCACAGGACAGGAAAAAATAAAGGTCCGCGTACAACAGACAAGCACTTTGACTTCTTCAAAATGTTTGATGGTATTGTTTTCTGAAAGAGATATGAAAAATTCAAATTATCTGATTGAAATGCTGAAATATAATTTTTATTTTGAATTTTATTCAGTAATTTTTAAAATGTTGGAAAAGATCTGCTTTTCTTTGATATTTTTGCCAGTTAATAATGGGGAAGGGGGGGGCGGGGTAGAGAGAAGATAAAAAAGACCAGGGAATGAAACAGAGAGAAGGAAGTAGCTAAACAGCCACAGTTAGAAAAAGAATAAGTGAAAGAAAAATGACTGCTTTAAGTCATTTTCTAAAGCATCACATTAGCATGTTGTTTTAGTCACATCCTCCTGCATTCTTGGGCTGCAGCATCCTTTCACCTTTTGAAGCTCTCAGTGGTATACTCCAAGATTTTCCACCAGTCTCTTCCTCTTTTGGCTCTTGCAGTTGCCATAATGTCTTCCTTTAACGTAGGATGATTTTATAAACTAAAAAAAGAGGTCAAAGTCCTCTTGGTTAAGGATGCATCTTTAAAATCTATATCAGTAAAAAAATTGATGGACTCATTTGAAATTTACCTAAAATTGAGTTTCAAGACTACTTGGGGGTTTTATTTATTTTAAACAATCTTTTATCATTGTACTTTATCATTTCTCAATTTGTTCCTGCATTTAAAATATTAAATTCTGAGGATCAGCCATTTATCATTCCCTTGCCCTCCTCCAATTTTATTTTTATTTTCCTTCTTACACTCTTGCCATTTTTTCTGCATCTTCTCTGACCTCATGGCCATTCATTCATTCATTCATTCTATACATCCATCAAACACTTGGGCACATTTGTATAGCTCTCCACAGGTTTTTATTTAAAAAAAAAAAAAGCAAATGCTTCCACTGGTTACTTCACTTGGCCTAACAGAGCTGGGACTTCATTATTATTTATCGCATCTTGCCGAAGGCTAAACTGAAGCTTACCCAAGCTCACACAGTCAGCAAACTGTGGACCAGTACTTGAACAGATTCCAAATTTCAGCCTTTTTCCAATACACTTCGGTGCTTCTGTGGGAGTTTTGTTGCTAGATTGTGGACACAAACATGTTTGAAAGGAAAATTTTTTCTGACCGTGGCTGTTGCTCCTTTAACAGTGAAGGCCACGTACCCTGAGGATGCTGGACAAATAGCTAAAATAGGTGAAGATGGTGACTAACTTATTTTGCCTCCTTTCCCTAGTTTCCTAGTATGAAAAGCCCATCTTTCTTCCAGGCCACCATATTTTCTCTCTCTGGGATACAGCTCAAGTCTGCTCAGGAGACCCAGAAATTGAAGAGGTCAGAATAAGGGATACATGTGTAGCCTGCTGGCCTAAATATTGATAAAATTGTTATCGATTGTGTTGTTCCTTAAATTAACCAGATCTTTTTTGTTAAGTGCGAGTGAATTTTACTTAAAATGAATAGTCTGTTATTTCCTTCCTGGACTGTCTTGAGTGTTTTACTTTGGAAAGGACTGATGGGATAATCAGTCCTTTAATTCTTTTCTGTGACCCTTTTGGTGACCTGAGGAAGGCTCAGCATCTGAAAATCATCTTTCCAGTCCTGAAAGTATCAAAAGCAGAAGATGGGAAGGACTGTTGAGGAAGCCTGTAGTGCCCCCTGCCGATGTCTAATGCCTGTCACCTCCTCTGTTTGAAGGGTCAACAGTAGAGTCCCTCTGTGATGACCTTGTCTCTGTGCTCACTGTTCTGTGTGAGAAGCTCCAAGCTGCCATCAAGTAAGTGCCTTCAACACTGGTGCTCTGATTCGTTAACCGACTATTTCTGAAGTAACTTTTGCCTGCAGCATCACTTAAAGTTGCAGAGCATAGGGACAGTGGTTCCCACCACCCCGTTGGTGTTCACTGAGCAGTTCACTGTCTTTCCTGAGACATGTGTTCAGTGATCTTGGGCAAGCCCACATGACCAAATACAATTACTGAAGGATGTAATTTTCTGATGAGAAAAAGGGAAAACAATACCTTGCAGAAGAGCTAATCCCTTGAGCATGGAGGTGAGTGGAAAAAATGTTGGCTAAGAGCTAGTTGATATGAGGGCTAGTCCTAACCTGGCATGTCCCAGGACTGTGGCTCCAGATGAGCCTTCTCATCCAGCTATTGCACCTTCCTCCTCTGCTAAATGGCCAGGTTGGGCTGTGTGATCTTTTCTATTTCTTCTAACATCTCCTGAACCTGTGAGCTCACACACCTATCTTTAAAAAGAATGTGTTATTCTGATTTTTATCTACTTTTCATTTATTTGCATGGCAGTTTAATCAGTGATATTAGTTCATTTGTGACATCCACTGCTCCAACTCTCCATGCAGTAAGTTGATAACTTCTGCATCTGTAGTAAAGACAAATCATAAAAAGGCCAGACTTTGCCAAGGTGAGTTGAAAGTCTCTACCAGCTACATATTATAATTAACTGCAACATTCTACAACATGGTAGGATTCTGAAGTGCCCTTTGAGTTGGGAAAGACACATTAAACTATTGTTACTGGTAACTAGAGTAATTGATAATTCAGAAAACTTTTGCTTATAGAATTTTATAGGTGGTAATGAGCTACGAGAAACTGTCCAGTTGCAGACATGAACGAGCTCTCTCACTTTGCTGGAAACACAGCAGAAATTTGTTTTTGTTGTTTTTGTTTCTTCATAAACTCAGGATTATTTTTAAGCTAGGCTTAAAACTACTCTTTCAAAGTTGTTGCCGAATAGTCTCTACTTCAATTTATCTATCATTCCTCCAGGTCACCTGCATATTTTAACCAGATTAAGCTCAATTTATATCAGGCACTAAAAAAATGAAGAGATTTATTTAATACATAGGTAGTACAAACCAAAACGAAATAGCGCTTAACTTCTTCCACCCCCCACCCTCAAGTTTCTCCCACCCCAGGACCCTAGGCAGGCTGCAGGTATGGGCATTATTTTTCCCTCGGGGGGAATGTACATGGAATGTACCTGGCTGCTCCCGTGCCCCACTCAGGTCCCCTCTTCCTGACCATGGAGAGTTGGAGCAGTAGGGCTGGGATTCAGATGAGCATCCTGACCTGTAGGCTCTAACCCTAGCCACGGTGACCCCATCTATAGGGACCCCGTGCTGCCTGATTTCTTTGCGACAGTCCCAGGCTGTGCCCGTTGTGTATGATTACAATCACCCTCCTTTACTCTCAACAGTGTCCAGGCTGGGATAGGTTATATATCCACTCTACCCATCCATGCCCGGGGTTTAGATCTCTTCCAGTGCTAACTTCTCACCACCCCTGCCCAGTTCCCGTCCATCTTGGCAGAGCCAGCTGTTAGAGCTGGAATATGTTTCTCATTGGCTTGTTTTCTTCTGAGAGACAATCAGAGTTTAATTACTATTGGCTCAACTGCAATATCTTTGTTGGATTACCTGGGATAAAACCCCCGTTAGGCCCCTTACTAGCTCTTGACTTTGGGCAAAGAGCTCAACCACCCTAAGCTTATTGATCCTATAATTAATTATTATTAGCACGTTATAATTTTATTATGTTATAATATTTATAATAAAATAACATAATGTTAATTATATTTGTAATATAATTTTAATATTGATATGCTTAATGATTATTCAAAATATTTTTAATTTGCATTATAATCATTATAATCTAGTAATATCTATAATATTAGTAATATAAAATATGTTAGGGTTTTTGTAAGGATTGAATGAGAAAATTAACCTAAAAGACTGTCAGTGCCCACCAACCCAAGATCACCAGGAACATCTGAGGTTAACAGAATTAGGGTTATTAACTTGCTGCAGTAGGGGAGCCTGTACACTATGCGAGCGATAGGACATCCAGTAAAAGGGTGGGTGTTAGGAATTGTTATAGGATTTGAACCTGAGTTAGGTAATTTGGTGCGGATTAAAGGAATTGGGGGTTCTGTTCAAGGACTGGCTACTGTCAGAAAGCAAGGGGCAATTCTAGCATTGAGCATCCTAGTTTTCATCTAGCTGACAAGAGGGCCAGATGGGAGCCAGAGTTGTCACTGGAGAAGCAGCAGGAGTCACTTACAGGGGAGGATAATATTTGGTCATTTTTATAATTGTACAGATTTTTAAAAAAATTTCTGTTCAGATGTGATTGCCAATTTGCTTGCATCTTGTTACATCATCATTGTGGAGAGTCCTCATCTGATGTTAACATTCTGTGCAGTTGTTTCTGTTCCCCAGGGGAACACACAGCTGGCTGGTAGCAACTAGTAAGATGGCTGTGCCAGCTGTCAAGGATTCTTCTTCTTGGCCCACCCCTTCAGGTCTTAGCCTTGTCGGGGAATAAAACAAAGACCACCGAAATTTTGAAAAACTTAAAGGCTATGTTCATTACTGTGCTGACAAGGGAAAACTAATAAACTATTTTTTTCTGAGTAGTTTGCTAAGGGAAAAATCTAAAATTTTTAAGTGCTACAAAAGTGCTAATAATAGTTCATGGTAATTATGCCATTAATAATTTTAAATAGCCATCAGGAGAAGTTAGAACAAGTCTGTAGGTCTATAAATGATACCATTGTTCATTGGTCCAGAAAGAGCCTTTAGCAAAGTCTAGTAAGGACCTGCCTGGCATCTGGGGTTCATTCAGTTCATGGTTCTTTAAAACCTGGATGGCTCTAATGTCACCTACAGGGACCCCTACCTGTAGGGCAACCATATAACTTGGCTTACCTTAAACAGTCCAAAGTTACGCTTATTGTATAATTATTATTAAAGACACTCATATCAATATCTTCTAGGAAGTACTGGTATAAGTGGAATTTTTTTTTTTTTTTACTGCACAGCACATAATAAATATTTGATAAATATTAGCTCTAAAATAGCTTGTTTGCTTTCAGAATTATCAGTGCTAATTCTAGTTGGTGATGCGTTTAGGAACACTGAGTTTCTTACATTAGAAATTTGAAGGTTGTTGGGAAAATACAATGCACAAACGTACATTACAAATGCTCACATATGTGTATTAGAAACTAAAGGTCATACATTTCTATCAGTCACTGAAAAAATGAAAATGTTTCTAAACCATATAATTCAGGGATAGGCTTTAAATGGAAAAAAAAAAAACTCACGTGACATGCATATGGTTTTCTAGGATTTCTCATTGGACATTGGATCGAAGATGGCTTTAGGCATATTGTTATAGAGCTTAATGATTTTTATAGGATTCTCATAGTCTTGCTTGTTTTTTCAAAGCAATTTCCTTATCATAATTCTGCCTCTGGAGACTCCTCTCCTTGTTTGGTTATGGCCTTTCCCATCATGGTTCCATTGTCCTAAGATGGGGGTTCTATTACTGCAGAAGCTGGGGTGCAGCAGACTTAGTGCAGCTTCACTGGGAGACGTTTAACACCCCCTAGTCAGATAATACCATGCCCTTGGTTGCTCTCACTCTGGTGGTTCTATTAATTCTCCTTAAATTTTCACATCTATATAGTTTCTTCTGATTTTACTACTTTAACTCCTTTTATTTCCATTGGCTAAACTTGACACCTCTCCTACCTTCTAAGTAGGTTCTCTTCCTCTGAAATCACACCACGGTCATTACTTCCCACCCAATATCCATTCCCAAAATCAATGCCGATATACCTCACAGGTCTTTAGCTCTGTAGGGGTATGTACTCATGATATGTTCAGTGTCTCAGGAGAAATCAGAAAATGCATTCAGGCACACAGGTTAACTCACATGCCTCGGAGATGCGGTATTAATAGAGCTCTATATTAGGCAAGTTGAGTTACGTGATGCTGTTTAAATCCAAGAATTTTTGGAAGGATACTTGGGATTAGAAAGATATTTTTTCATTCTCTGCCCGTTGGTTTCCCACCCCCCTCTCCCCACTTCCCTCTCTTCTCAGTACCGGATGTCGGAGAGGAATCTATACTGAGGCGTCTTGGAATCAATGAGGCGAGGCTGAGCCTTCATACTGTGTATTCTAATTCCATTCCACTCCTTATGCAACTCTCTCTCTCCTTTTTCTAACTAAATTTGAATCTGTTTCTAAGGGAGGCAAAATCAAAATAGTTCAAAGTGAAACAAAATTTTAAGAACTCCAGAAATTGAGGATGTGCCGCCAGGTTGCTGTCACAGCAACCCTGCCGGGGCTGCACTGCCCCTCCTTCGTGGACCACTGGTCTACCCACGAGCGTTGTTCTCTGTGGATCGTGGGCCTGGGAGGGAATCCAGAGACGGGCAGAGGGTGAGACCAGTAGGCGCTCAACCTGTTCAAACAAAGGGCCAGACAAAGTGACTCACAGCCCTCCTAAGTAGGCAGGTGTTCCCTAGTGTGTGCTGAAAGAGGTGGCTAGTTTCTAGGCTCCTTTCTGCCCTGTGCATCTCACAGATTCGTCTGTCTATAGTCAGACAAATATGAAACGTACACACTGTGCACACACATGTGTGTATTAGTGAGGGGCACGCATGGAAGGTGCTCCTCTAATGACATGACGCGTGCCAGGCCACGAGTACTCATTTGTCCGGACTGCAGCAGCCCACAGAAAAGCTGCCGCATTCAGTCTCCAAGGAGACTCCCAGGCCAGTTTCCTTGGCAATGAGCTCTCTCTGTCACCAAGTCTGATGCCTTGGGGTTGCCATATTGCTGCAGCACGCTTTGCTGATATGTACTCATAGGGAACTTGACTGCTTGTAGCTTTTCTCTGGGTTTATTTCCAGTGATTTCAGAAACTGAGACTCTTTATTGTTTATAGTTATTTTAGTTTTGTGATATTCGACTGACAGTTTGAAAGATAGACATTTTTCAGTAAGGGCATTTAATAATTATTTTTCTTAATTATGAGTCAAGTGATTGGTCAGAAAGACCACCCACCTGGATTTTAATACTTTCTGGTGGGTTAGGCAGAAAACTTAATCCAGGTATAAAAATGTGCATCCCATAAACTTACCTGTTTTTTTTTAATCTGGTTCTATTGAGGAACCCCATAGTAATAATCATGAGAAAAATAATTCGTCTGTTGAAAAACCATGCTGCTTTCAAAATAAAGAAGAAAAGCCAAATGCAAGTTAGTAAAGCATTAATCATCTAGAAGATATCATGGTACAATAAAACATCTGAGACATATTTAGACAATTAAACATATTAAAAATTAATATTTCTGGAATAAACTGTGGACTTTAGGCAATATATCAATATTTATTCATTAACGGTAGCTGTTAATTTGTTCATTAATGGTAAGATGTTAATAACATCTTTACCAGGATAAACCACGTGCAGGGGTGGGTAAAATATGGTCACTTTCCATACCATATTCAGTTTTTCTGTAAATCTAAAACTGTTCTAAAAAGTAAGGTTTATTACAGAAAAATCATCCTAACTGTATTAGTTTGTTGGGGCCCCCATAACAAAGTACCACAAACCAAGTGGCTTTAACAACAGAAGTGTATTGTCTCATGCTTCTGGAGGCTGGAGATTGGAGATCATGATGTCAGCAGAGTTGGTTCCTTCTCAGGGCTGGGAGGCCTCGCTCTTTGGCTTGTAGACGACCGTCTTCTCCGCATGTCTCTTCACATTGTCTTCCTTCCATATGTATGTCTGTGTCCTAATTTCCCTGTTGTATAAGGACACCAGTCGTATTGGATTAGGATCTACCCTAATAACTTCACTTTAACTTGGTTACCTGTGTAAGGTCCCAACTCCAAATAAGACCATTTCTGAGGTGCCAGGCGTTAGGACCTCAGCATATGAAAGGCGGGGGCGGGGGGCACAAGTCAACCCATAACACTACCAATGCCCCCTACCCCAAAATTAACACCCTGTGATACCTAACATTTTCCCAAGTGTTTTCCACGCGTCACCTCTTTAGTTTCGCCTTTACCTTGTGTGCGTTTGTGCGTTGGTTCTGTCCCTCTGCAGTGACAGCCAGCAGCTGCAGCTTCTGTACCTGGAGTGCGTGCTGTCCGTGCTCAGCAGTTCCTCCTCCTCCGTGCGGCTGCACAGGGGCTTCACGGACCTCATCTGGTGAGTGTTCATCCTGACGCCAACCCCTGCTCCACCCCAACCTGGGAGGCTCGCTCGCTCTAGCTGGGTCTGCGGGTCCCTTCCCAGGGCATCCATGCCTCACTGGCCATTTCATCTCTGTGTAAATATATTAGAGGGAAAGTAAGGAGACAGCTTTGCCTATATGCACCAGACGAAGCTACAGAGAGAAAGGGGAGAGAAAGCGATAATTATTGTAACAAACTATGCCTCCCAAGGCCCTTTTGCATTTTGTTTCCATCATAGGATCATGAGAGCCTACGTTCTAAGTCATATAAAGGCACCAGAGGGTTGCACAGGCGAGGCGATTCACCTTCGCCAAAACTGGACCTTCTTCTCAGCCTCACCCTTGTACTTTCTCCATCTCAACCTGAATACTAGTCTCTTAATCACAGTCAGAGATTCACACAAGTGACAGGACCCTCAGGCAGCCAGCTAGCTGCTCTGGGTTCCTGCGCTTATTGACAGGGAGAAAGTCGAATGCTATGTATATGATATGTGTCAGAATTTTAAACTGACTTCTCAAATGAGGAGTATAAATAACTTTGTTATTTATAGTAAAATGACACTTCATAACTAAGTTAGCATTTTGAGTCCATTTTCCTCACATAAGATGATTTCTAATGCTTCTCTTGATATTTTATGTAGTTAACCCCAGCTTGAATTATGGGGCAAAGTATTCTGTTGGTATTCCCAGGAGTGATGAGGAGTCAGGGAACGCTGGGGCAGAAGGTAGCCAGAAGAAGGAGCAGTAAAGAGCCCAACTCTTACTTGTCTTTTTTTTTTTTTTTGCGATACACGGGCCTCTTACTGTTGTGGTCTCTCCCGCTGCGGAGCACAGGCTCCGGACACGCAGGCTCAGCGGCCATGGCTCACGGGCCCAGCCGCTCGGCGGCACGTGGGATCTTCCTGGACCGGGGCACGAACCCGTGTCCCCTGCATCGGCAGGCGGACTCTCAACCACTGCGCCACCAGGGAAGCCCTTACTTGTCATTTTTAAGGCACCTGGCATTTACCCTCAGGATAGTATTCGTATTTTGTCATTCGGCTTGTAGGGAAACTTTCCTTTCTTCTCGTTCTCTTCTCAGGAAAAACCTTTGCCCTGCCCTCATCGTGATCCTGGGCAATCCAATTCATGACAAAACTATCACCTCTGCTCATAGCAGCAACACGAGTACCAGCATCGAATCGGACTCTGCGTCTCCAGGGGTTTCTGACCACGGCCGGGGGTCAGGCTGCTCCTCCACCGCACCAGCCCTCAGTGGGCCCGTGGCTCGGACCATCTATTACATCGCAGCTGAGCTGGTCCGGCTGGTGGGGTCAGTGGACTCCATGAAGCCCGTGCTGCAGTCGCTCTATCACCGCGTGCTGCTTTATCCCCCACCCCAGCACCGGGTGGAAGCCATCAAAATAATGAAAGAGGTAGGGAGGCAGTGAAGGATGCCACGTGTCTTGCACAAAGGAAGTACTTAGAAAATGTTTGTCAGTCACCTGCTGGAACTTAATTGCTTCTGTACAGTATCCAGTAACAAATAGTATCTTTAGCACTGGGGGCTGTGTGTGCATGTGTTGGGCTAAGGGGGTGTTGATAAGTGCTCACTGAAGCAAAGCCGTTTGATAATTTTAACTACATGCATCTGACTGGACCCCAGACTGAGCTTTCATTTTGCTCCCTCAGGTACTGTCTGTGCAGATGTATATGTGTTTTGGTTTTTGGGTTTTTTGAATTTTATTTATTTTTTTATACAGCAGGTACTTATTAGTTATCCATTTTGTACACATCAGTGTATACATGCCAATCGCAATCGCCCAATTCATCCCACCACCACCCGCACCCCCCGCCGCTTTCCCCCCTTGGTGTCCATACGTTTGTTCTCTACATCCGTGTCTCAGTCTCTGCCCTGCAAACGGGTTCACCTGTACCATTTTTCTAGGTTCCACATATATGCGTTAATGTACAATATTTGTTTTTCTCTTTCTGACTTACTTCACTCTGTATGACAGTCGCTAGCTCCATCCACGTCTCTACAAATGACCCAATTTCGTTCCTTTTTATGGCTGAGCAATATTCCATTGTATCTGTGGACCACATCTTCTTTATCCATTCGTTTGTTGATGGGCATTGAGATTGCTTCCATGACCTGGCTATTGTAAATAGTGCTGCATGAACATTGGGGTGCATGTGTGTTTTTGAATTACAGTTTTCTCTGGGTATATGCCCAGTAGTGGGATTGCAGGGACATACGGTAACTCTATTTTTAGTTTTTTAAGGACCCTCCTTACTGTTCTCCATAGTGGTTGTATCAATTTACATTCCCACCAACAGTGCAAGAGGGTTCCCTTTTCTCTACACCCTCTCCAGCATTTGTTGTTTGTAGATTTTCTGATGATGCCCATTCTGACTGGTGTGAGGTCATTGTAGTTTTGATTTGCATTTCTCTAATAATTAGTGATGTTGAGCAGTTTTTCATGTGCTTCTTGGCCATCTGTGTGTCTTCTTTGGAGAAATGTCTATTTAGGTCTTCTGCCCATTTTTGGATTGGACTGTATGTTTTTTTAATATTGAGCTGCATGAGCTGTTTATATATTTTGGAGATTAATCCTTTGTCCGTTGATTCGTTTGCAAATATTTTCTCCCATTCTGAGGGTTGTTTTTTCATCTTGTTTATGGTTTCCTTTGCTGTGCAAAAGCTTTTAAGTTTCATTAGGTCCCATTTGTTTATTTTTCTTTTATTTCCATTACTCTAGGAGGTGGCTCAAAAAAGATCTTGCTGTGATTTATGTCAAAGAGTGTCCTTCCTATGTTTTCCTCTAGGAGTTTTATAGTGTCTGCTCTTACATTTAGTTCTCTAATCCATTTTGAGTTTATTTTTGTGTATGGTGTAAGGGACTGTTCTAATTTCAGTCTTTTACATGTAGCTGTCCAGTTTTCCCAGCACCACTTATTGAAGAGACTGTCTTTTCTCCATTGTATATCCTTGCCTCCTTTGTCATAGATTAGTTGACCGTAGGTGTGTGGGTTTATCTCTGGGCTTTCTATCCTGTTCCATTCATCTATATTTCTATTGTTGTGCCAGTACCATATTGCCTTGATTACTGTAGCTTTGTAGTATAGTCTGTAGTCAGGGAGGCTTTTTTCCCCGCAAGACTGCTTTGGCTATTTTGGGTCTTTTGTGTCTCCATACAAATTTTAAGATTTTTTTGTTCTGGTTCTGTAAAAAAAATGCCATTGGTAATTTGATAGGGATTGCACTGAATCTGTAGATTGCTTTGGGTAGTATAGTCATTTTCACAATATTCATTCTTCCAATCCAAGAATATGGTATATCTCTCCATCTGTTTGTATCATCTTTAATTTCTTCCATTAGTGTCTTAGTTTTCTGCATATAGGTCTTTTGTCTCCCTAGGTAGGTTTATTCCTAGGTATTTTATTCTTTTTGTTGCAATGGTAAATGGGAGTGTTTCCTTAATTTCTCTTTCAGATTTTGCATCATTACTGTATAGGAATGCAAGAGATTTCTGTGCATTAATTTTGTATCCTACAACTTTACCAAATTCATTGATTAGCTCTAGTAGTTTTCTAGTGGCATCTTAGGATTCTCTATGTATACTATCATGTCATCTGCAAACAGTGACAGTTTTACTTCTGCTTTTCCAATTTGTGTTCCTTTTATTTCTTTTTCTTCTCTGATTGCTATGGCTAGGACTTCCAAAACTATGTTGAATAATAGTGGTGAGGGTGGACATCCTTGTCTTGTTCCTGATCTTAGAGGAAATGCTTTCAGTTTTTTACCATTGAGAATGATGTTTGCTGTGCGTTTCTCTTATATGGCCTTTATTATGTTGAGGTAGGTTCCCTCTGTGCCTACTTTCTGGAGAGTTTTTATCATAAAGGGTGTTGAATTTTGTCAGAAGCTTTTTCTGCATCTATTGAGATGATCATATAGTTTTTCTTCTTCAGTTTGTTAATATGGTGTATCACATTGATTGATTTGCGTATATTGAAGAATCCTTGCATCCCTGGGATAAATCCCACTGATCATGGTGTATGATCCTTTTAATGTGTTGTTGGATTCTGTTTGCTAGTATTATGTTGAGGATTTTTGCCTCTGTATTCATCGGTGATATTTGTCTGTAATTTTCTTTTTTTGTAGTATCTTTGTCTGGTTTTAGGATCAGGGTGATGGTGGCCTCATAGAATGAGTTTGGGGTGTTCCTTCCTCCGAAATTTTTTGGAAGAGTTTGAGAAGGATGGGTGTTAGCTGTTCTCTAAATGTTTGACAGAATTCACCTGTGAAGCCATCTGGTCCTGGACTTTTGTTTGTTGAAAGATTCTTAATCACAGTTTCAATTTCATACTTGTGATTGGTCTGTTCATATTTTCTATTTCTTCCTGGTTCAGTCTTGGAAGGTTATACCTTTCTAAGAATTTGTCAGTTACTTCCAGGTTTTCCATTTTATTGGCATAGAGTTGCTTGTAGTAGTCTCTTAGGATGCTTTGTATTTCTGCGGTGTCTGTTGTAACTTCTCCTTTTTCATTTCTCATTTTATTGATTTGAGTCCTCTCCCTCTTTTTCTTGATAAGTCTGGCTAATGGTTTATCAATTTTGTTTATCTTCTCAAAGAACCAGCTTTTAGTTTTATTGATCTTTGCAATTGTTTTCTTTGTTTCTATTTCATTTATTTCTGCTCTGATCTTTATGATTTCTTTGATTCTCCTAACTTTGGGTTTGTTAGTTGTTCTTTCTCTATTTCCTTTAGGTGTATATTAGATTGTTTATTTGAGATTTTTCTTTTTTCCTGAGGTAGGCTTATATAGCTATAAACTTCCCTCTTAGAACTGCTTTATGCCGCATCCCATAGGTTTTGGATCATCGTGTTTTCATTATCAATTGTCTCTAGATATTTTTTGATTTCCTCTTTGATTTCTTCAGTGATCTCTTGGTTATTTAGTAATGTATTGTTTAGCCTCCATGTGTTTGTGTTTTTTACGTTTTTTTCCCTGTGGAAAAAAGCATAGTGTTGTGGTCAGAAAAGATGCCTGATATGATTTTAATTTTCTTAAATTTACTGAGGCTTGATTTTTGACCCAAGATGTGATCCATCCTGGAGAATGTTCCGTGCACACTTGAGAAGAAAGTTTAATCTGCTGTTTTTGGATGGAATGTCTTCTAAATATCAATTAGATCTATCTGGTCTGTTGTGTCATTTAAAGCTTCTGTTTCCTTATTAATTTTCTGTCTGGAAGATCTGTCCATTAGTGTAAGTGAGGTGTTAAAGTCCCCCACTATTATTGTGTTACTGTTGATTTCCTCTTTTATAGCTGTTAGCAGTTGCCTTATGTATTGAGGTGTTCCTATGTTGGGTGCATATGTATTTATAATTGTTATATCTTCTTCTTGGATTGATACCTTGATCATTATGTAGTGTCTTTCCTTGTCTCTTGTAACATTCTTTATTTTTTTTTGTTTTTGTTTCTTGCGGTACACGGGCCTCTCACTGCTGTGGCCTCTCTGTTGCAGAGCACGGGCTCCGGACGTGCAGGCTCAGCGGCCATGGCTCATGGGCCCAGCCGCTCCGCGGCATGTGGGATCCTCCCAGACCGGGGCACAAACCCGCGTCCCCTGCATTGGCAGGTGGACTTTCAACCACTGTGCCACCAGGAAAGCCGTAACATTCTTTATTTTAAAGTCTCTTTTATCTGATATGAGTATTGCTACTCAAGCTTTCTTTTGATTTCCATTTGCATGGAATCTCTTTTTCCATCCCCTCACTTTCAGTCTGTATGTGTCCCTAGGTCTGAAGTGGGTCTCCTGTAGACAGCATATATATGGGTTTTGTTTTTGTATACATTCAGCAAGCCTGAGTCCTTTGGTTGGAGCATTTAATCCATTCATGTTTACAGTAATTATCCATATGTATGTTCCTATTACCATTTTCTTAATTGTTTTGGGTTTGTTTTTGTAGATCCTTTTCTTCTCTTGTGTTTCCCACTTAGAGAAGTTCCTTTAGCAGTTGTTGTAGAGCTGGTTTGGTGGTGCTGAATTCTCTTAGGTTTTGCTTTTCTGTAAAGCTTTGGATTTCTCCATTGAATCTGAATGAGATCCTTGCTGGATAGAGTAATCTTGGTTGTAGGTTCTTCCCGTTCATCACTTTAAGTATATCATGCCACTCCCTTCTGGCTTGCAGAGTTTCTGCTGAGAAATCACCTGTTAACCTTATGGGAATTCTCTTGTATGTTATTTGTTGTTTTTCCCTTGCTGCTTTGAATAATTTTTCTTTGTCTTTAATTTTTGCCAATTTGATTACTATGTGTCTCGGCGTGTTTCTCCTTGGGTTTATCCTGTATGGGACTCTGCGCTCCTGGACCTGGGTGGCTATTTCCTTTCCCATGTTAGGGAAGTTTTTGACTATAATCTCTT